TATTTTTAGGTTACTCTCGGGGTATTGTAAGGTTATTGTTGGGGTATTGTTAGATTATCCTTGGGGTATTCTAAGGCTATTCCACAAGCAGATAACAAAATTCTGTACTCAACAGGCAGATAAATTACAAGCCATATATCTACAACTTCCAATTGGAATAATGTTATATGAACTTGTACATTGATACAGATTTGTTAATGTGGGCATAACACGTTATAACATGTGAATTATATTGGGCACAAAGCATGTTGGATTCGGTGTGACAATTTCCTGACTCAGAGAGTTTGACGTCGCAATCGTATTTGCGTCGTAATTCCTGTGTGATTCTTGTGTCATATATGTTTCTTGATTTTTTTCTGCGAACAGTGGTAAAATAATAAGACAATTAATTTTACATATAATCGTTAGTATATAGAATGTAGAATGGTAAATATATGTAATGTAGAGATATATACCTTTAACTCGCTTGTTTTTTTCCCAGTGTCCTTTCAACCTCGCATTAGAAATACGTTTCGGTCTCATTTTTACAGGATCATTCACATTGCAGTCACAGTTATAGGATTTCCTCTTTTTGTTTGGCCTATTTGGTTTAGGATCTTTCCCATCTATTATATCCTCAATACCTTCGAACCTTGTTTTCAACAATTCAATTATATATGTCTCGACACGTTCATTTCCGTTAGCTTTATTAATTAATTGGTAGGCAAACTTTTGAGCATGTGACCGAAATAGGATTCCTCTGGATATTGTGCCAGAAATTTGAGGCCGAGAGTTTTTCATATGTTTGTATCCAAAACTATGATAGATATCTTTCTTTGCCTTAGCAGACCATCTGAATAACAAATATTTCTCGGGAATTTTGTTATATTATTAGCATTAAGGACGCGTAGACAGTGAGAGCAAAGCAGATCTGTCATTTTGAATTTCTTGCAACTGCAGGTGATGTCGCAATTAAGCCTATCAAATATAACAAGTCAGGCTCTACTTGTGTCCTGATTATCCAAACTTCTAACATAGAATTCCGATGGACTCTCAACTAAGGAATCGACTGTCAATCCACATATCCCGTGAAGTCACTCTTTCTCAAACATAGAGTAGAGTTTCCGGGTATAATATGTTGCAGCTTGCCTCTTGCCTCGACACTGAGCTTGTTTTAACTGTCGGTGTAATAACATTTTAAAAGCTTTTGAAGTCTTCATCCTTTTCGTTCTTTCTCCATGACTTCATAATATTTTTTAACCCTAGAAAGCAATCTGTTAGGGAACTAGTGGGCTTAGATGCACCATGAAAAACATTATTTGTGGACTCACTTCTTTGAGTAGACAAGATTCCCATTCCAAAAATTTATTTATTGAATGCAGTTGACCAGTTATGTCTTATACGGTACAATGCATCTAGCCACATGTTGTTGTGCAGGTTTCCTTGCTCGATCATTAGAGCCCAAGTAACTTCGAACTCATCTTCCGAATCACACTTGCTCATGCATTTATAAAATAGACTGTTAACGCTCTTGTACGTCACACCACAATGAACTTTCGACGAGAATTTCTTATAGATATGCCATTGGCATAATCTATGTCTTGTGAATGGAAGACAATCTGCAATAGCTCTTGTCATCGCTTGATCCTGGTCTGTAAATATTGTAATTGATGCTTATCATCTATTATACGAATGAAGGTTTTGAATAACCACTTGAACGATTCTATCGTCTCGTCAGATAAAAAACCAACTTCGAATAGAAAGTTTTGCCGATGGTGGTTAATCCCAACGAAAGAAGCACAACATATATTATACTTATTCAAACGGTAGCTAGTGTCAAAAATGATGACATCTCCAAAACAATCATAATCTAGTCTGCAAGACCCATCATTCCAGAAAAAGCTTGTAAGTCTGCACTCGTCATCACTTTGGAAATCCCATGCAAACATGCTATCTTTATTTTGGCGCTCCATGAATAATTGTAAGAGAGAGTTGGCATCGCCCTGTTCAATCCCGTCTCTTTTATCCCTTTGAATGAAGTTGAATGCATCTTGTCTTGTGCACTCCAAGTTTTCAACACCACCAATCTCTGTAGCAAAGAAATTGAATGCATCAGCTGCTCTAATCCCAGAACCTGTCATTGATCTTAGCATTTAACTCGCTAATCTTTCTACTGGAACGTAGAAGGTGCTTGTCACCGGATTCCGCCAAGGGGTGGTTATGACTTTCAACAAATTTCTTATAGTCTAGTTGCCGTCAAGATCAATAGCATAGCGAACCATTGCTTGACAGTCAGTCCGTGTATCCGCTTTTCTATACTTCACAGTAGTGGCTAGCTGAGATTCTCTTTTATGACCTGATTTTCCACAAATATAATCCTTCGACTTAATTTGCTTGGATTTAGCCTAGTAAGTTGTGTGGTCCTTGCGTACAGTGAAACCAACGTAATGTGCATAAGCACAATAATGTTTGTAAACCTCTTCCTCATTACGGACAACAATATTAAGATAGCTACAAGCAATTGGATCATTGCAATCTGTTTCTGCTGTAGATATCTATAAATTTAAAGTATACAATAGAGATAGTCAGATAAATAACCCTAACCACAGGTTATTCTTAGGTTATTGTTAGGTTATTCTCGGGTTATTAAGTATTTCTTCAATCAACCCGAAAATAAATAATCATAAACCCTAAATAATAATGAAATAACCTAACAACAATCGAAGATTCACACAAAATCTCATTTTTTTTAGAGATCTGGTAGGTTTATGCGCAGATTATTCTTAGGTTATTCTCGGGTTATTCTCGGGTTATTGAGTATTTCTTCAATCAACCCGAAAATAAATAACCATAACAACAGAATAATGATGAAATAACCTAACGACAATTGAAGATTCACAGAAAATTTCACTTTTTTTAGAGATCTGGTGGGTTAATTTTTTTGGGTTATTCTTAAGTTATTCTCAGGTTATTCTCGGGTTATTGAGTATTTCTTCAATCAACCCAAAAATAAATAACCCTAAACACAGAATAATGATGAAATAACCTAACGACAATCGAAGATTCACACA